ATTTTAGGACAATTTTCAGTTTTTGGGGTGGTTCCCCAGGTTTGGGGTTGACTCCCCAATTTTGGGGGCGACGCCCCAATTTTGGGGTAAATCTCTGGATTTTTGGGGTCCCTTGCAGGGGCCTGATCTCGGAGCAGCCCAACGAGGACCTTTTCTTCCTGGACACTGGCAGCGCCCCCAAAAGTGAGGATTTCACCCCAAAATCCCCCTCCCCGAGGTGCCCCTGACCCCCCCCCGGGTTTTGGGAGGATTTGAGGTTATTTTGGAAAGATTTTGGGATCATTTTTGGGGTGATTTGGGGTTATTTTGGGGAGGATTTGGGGTTATTTTTGGGAGGATTTGGGATCATTTTTGGGAGGATTTGAGGATCATTTTTGGGAGGTTTTGGGGGATTTGGGGATCATTTTTGGGAAGATTTGGGGGTAATTTTGGGAGGATTTTGTGATTATTTTTGGGGGACTTGGGGTAATTTTTGGGAGGATTTGGGGATAATTTTTTGGAAGATTTGGAGATAATTTTTGGGGGGATTTTGGGTCATTTCTGGGGGGATTTTGGAGGTCATTTTTGCCAATTTTGAGGTTATTTTTTTTAACGATTTGGGCTCATTTTGGGTGGTTTTCTGGCTAATTTTGGGGGGTGTTTGGGGCTCATTTTTGGGGGATCCCCCCTGAGGGTTTTGGGGTGCCCCTGACCCCCCAGGCCAGCCCCTGAAGAAGAAGAAGCCCCCCAAGAAGCCCCCCCAGAAGCCCCTGCACGTGGACCTGGTGCTGCAGCCGCTCTCCAAGGTGCCGCCCCCCAAAAAGTGAGTCCCCCCAAAAACTGGAGCTCAAAAATCGGGATTTTGGGTAATTTGTCCCCAAATTCCCCTCAGGGACCCCCAAACTCCTCCAGGATCCCCCAAAATCCTCTCAGGGACCTCCCAAAATCCCCCTGGGATCCTCTAAAATCCCCCCTGGGATCCCCAAAATTCCCCTGGGATCCCCAAAATCCCCTCAGGGACCCCCAAAATTCCTCTGGGATCCTCAAAATTCCCTCAGGAACTCCCAGAATCCCCCCAGGGACCCCCAAAATTCCCCTGGGATCCTCAAAATTCTCTCAGGGACCTCCCAAAATCTCCCTGGGATCCCCAAAATTCCCCTGGGATCCCCTGAAATCCTCTCAGGATTCCCTTAAATCTCCCTGGGATTCCCAAAATTCCCCTGGGATCCCCTAAAATCCTCTCAGGATTCTCCTTCCCCAAGTTTCGGGTTCCCATTTTTGGGGTTCCGTTTTGGGGTCTATTTTTGGAGAGATTTGGAGTTAATTTTTGAGGGATTTTGGGGGATTTGGGGCTCATTTTTGGGTGGATTTGGGTTTATTTTTGGGGGGATTGGATTTGGGAGTAATTTTTGAGCGATTTTGGGCTCATTTTGGGTGGACTTGGGGCTCATTTTGGGTGGATTTGGGCTCATTTTTGGGTGGATTTTGGGCTAATTTGGGGGCATTTAGGGCTCACTTTTGAAGTATTTTGGGGTTCGTTTTGGGGTGGATCTGGGGCTTATTTTTGGGTTCATTTTTGGCTGGATTTAGGGCTCATTTTTGGGTGCATTTGGGGTTCATTTTTGAGGTATTTGGGGCTCATTTTTTGGC